TGGTTAGGCTGAATTAGCTGGTCTGTTTGGTTAGGCTGAATTAGCTGGTCTGTTTGGTTAGGCTGAATTAGCTGGTCTGTTTGGTTAGGCTGAATCAGCTGATTGGGCACGTTCGGTGGGTATGAAGCGGGATATTCTGCATTGTTATACTGGTTGTCCATCGTGTGGCTGCGCGTTGAAAAGGGGAGGGGGATCGGAGAATGGCATGAACCGAGCGACGCAAAGGAAACGAGGTAAACTCGGTGCCGCAAGTGAAATGGGGAGAACGAAACGGAGCGAACCTAATAATTGCCCCTTGTAAAAAATAAAGGCGCGGCGGCTATCATTTGAGACCTCCACATAGTACAGCGGTATTTTTTTCGCAGAGGCTGTTTTGCTCATTCGTGGGCCTTTGTACGCAAATACACGGGGCTCAGTTGTTTTTTTTCTTTTTTTTTTTTTTTGCGCAGCGTAATGGCAGAAAGACGTGAGCTGTATTGTGATCCCTACTTGGGGGAACGGGTGAGACGCTCTCACGTGTATACGTACGGCACAAACGTACGTCTACACACGGGTACTGCGCCGTATGCGCATGTAGACGCCTTCCTCATGAATCGGCTATGCACATTGGGAGTAGAAGCAATGCATGGGGGGTAGTCACATTAGGCACCTAATACGTTAAAAAAAAAAAAAAAAAAGGAAGAAGCTACGGCGCTGTTACGCATCAGAGGGCGCGTCTTGTATGCATAATTATACAATTACAAGCGGGCATATTGACAACACGTCGCATAGGGGTTGTGCGTAACTGTCCAATTATACACTCGTGAACAGCATTGCTGTAACGAATTTTTAAAACATGGGGGAAGATGGAACAAGAAGAAGCATGCTAATTTTGTCAATCATTTTTTCGGAAGGCACAAACAAAGGCGTTCAAAAAATAAAATGGGAGGGGGAAGAAATATGAGCAAGCTGGCACATAATGTGGACTGGGAGTCGGGTCAAAATGGCTAGCAGTTTCATTTCCCCCAAAGTAAGGCAGAAGCTATAATTGCCTTTTCCTCAATTTTTACGTCTTCCTACAATGTCATATTTTTTACAAAATGATATGCAGTTTTTCCATTCCGTTAAATGCAGCCCCATATATGTCATCGTTTTTACAAATGAAGCAAAATAATAATGGGGGGGAGGAAAACGCCTGCATTTATGCTTCGTTCATCCCAAGATAAAAGAAAAGGAGCATTTTCACGACAGCCGGAGGAGCTCGAGCTGCTTGGGGGTGAGTACGCACAAGCATCAGCATGTACGGAGGTATGCGTTTATATAATACGTATGGGGAGTTATAAGCGCCGTAAATTTCTTCATGCAGTTGGGATGTGGTTTGAGGGATGCAGCAGGAACTTTCACATTCACAAAGCGGCGAGATGGCAAAGCTTGCGAAGGTTGCAAAGAGAGGCGAGGTGGTACATATTTTATTTTGCCCGATCCCCAGCTGCATATGGAAAAGTATATTGCTTTACTTGCGAGACATGCGCTTTCCTTTATTTTCTTTTTTTTTTTTATTCTGTTCAGAGGGTCCTACATAGGATTTGCTGGCATTTACGTATAAAATATATCTGTACGTATATGGACGGAAAATGAGGTATCTGTTTTTTTGCAGAAGTGATATTCGCTCGTTTGCGTGTTTTTTGGGCCCTTCAGAAATTCCGGCCGAAATTTTCCCGTTCGCGTGGCGCTGACATTGTTGCCGGTTTTACAATCCTTTCGAATCCATTCTGGAAGCACAGATAACGCGGCACGTGTTTACGCGCAAATGTTTGTATTTGACGAGCTGAGCGCGCACTCAGTTCTGTCGCGGCCTGTCTGTCACACGAATAGTACGTACATCCGGATGTATACGTTTATGTGCCCCTTTTCCCCGTTTAGAATGTGCTAATGTGGCGGTGATTTTTCCAGGCATCGCAGCGATTCTGTTTTTCCATCACTTGGTTCCTGTTGCGCTCCATTTCACTCTATTTCGCCCCATTTTGGCGGCACATTTACCAATATGAAGAAGCAAAAAATCGCCATTTCTCTTTTCTCCCGCTCATGTTTTTTCGCACGCAATTTTGTCCCTCTTTAAAGTGTAGCAAAGGACACGGTTTGCTGCTACTACCCCCCCCAGAGAGACATGTTTCAAAAGTACAGACGTATATGCCTGTGCATATGGCTTACATTACATACCGTCGCGGCCACATATGTATAAACACTCAAGACGTCGCTGCTAGCGTGGTCAAGAATGAATGAGAGGAGTAAGAAAAAAGAGGCGTATGAAAGCAGGCGAAATGACACAAGCGATTTAGACAATATCAGAAACAAGTTGGAAGATCTGAGAAGCAAAACAGAAGTGAAGAAAGACGAAAGGATAGAAATTGCGAAGAAAAATGATGACCCGTTTAGCGATCTTAAAATACACATTTTAAATGTGCTGGATGAAACCAGAAAATGCATAAGGGAAAAGGAAGGCTTACAGAATGTACATGGCAATAACATCGAGGTGATAAAAAGGGGAAACATCATATATAACAATATGAAAAATCTGGATACATACTTTTTAAAGTTAGAAGAAATCCTAAAAAAGCAGGTAAAGAAAAAATATGCCTACAGCAAGGAAGAACTATGTGATAAAAATGAAACCTTCGAGTTGTTGAAGAAGCAAATTTATGAATGCAAAAAGTTGAGCAATTATGATCACATTAAGGATACTTGTTTTATAGACTTTTCCGATTTTAAAAATAAGCAGCAGGTGGAGAGTAAGTGATAATAATATTCTTTTTTTCCCCCTCCGGTGTGGGAGGCATACTATCCGATGGTGACGCCTTTCTCTCTTCTTTGCCCCCATCACACTGGGCTTTTTTTTTTTTTTTTTTTTCCCAATTTGCAGGAAAAGAAACGAGCAACAACAATGACGAAGAAGATGACATGGTCATAATAAACAGGTGGAAAGAAAGAGATAAAAAATTTAACGAGGAAATTTTGAAAATCGGAGAAGTCATCGATCGAATAGGAGCCAATGCCGTTTATATAACGAACAAGGCGGAGGAACAAAACGAAATAATCATAGATTTACAGGACCACACTGATAAGACGCAAAATAATGTGAAAGAAGTTAATGTGGAAATTAAGAAAGTCATGAAAAAGCATTCGCAGACAACCTGGTGTTGCCGAATTTCCCTTGTCATTATTTTGATTATATTGGTGATGATAACGTCGAATGTTATTTCGAATAAATTCATCAAAAGTTTGTGATGGGCGGGTGGGCCCAAGAGGTGGCCATGGAAGGCCGTCCAATTGAAGCATAACCCAGCTGCGCGAAGTTCCCTCAAAATTGGGCACACACCGAATGGCCATAATTTGCAATTCTGTCCCGCGCAACACGCACTCAAATTTGTCTGAACGGATTTTTCTTCCACAGCAAATGCCCAATACGGGGTGGAAGGAAAAAGACAAATTGGGGTTTCCAAGTGAAACCAACTCACAGTAAAAGCGCATAAACAGGGAACACATGTGGAGGCCCCATAAAAGTGTGTCAAACATATTTTGGCATGCTATTTAATTTTTTTTTTTTTTAGTATACGTTGTTAAAGACGATGCATTTGCAATTTTGTATGTAGTAAGCTTTTAAAAATGCTTTTTTTTTATGTGCGAATGTTCAATTGATAAGTTTTTCTTCCTTTGATCTCCCTCAGAAGAAGCATTTTTACGTAAACCCATTTCATTCCTGTGTCTCCGTCGTTGTTTCCAACAGGGGAGGGAACTGCTGTGTACGTACATACACACCCGTCCATATGGACAATTAATATATGCATCCATCGGCATACTTCTCTCACTCAGCTGCTGCGGAAATTTGAGGAGGGAGGGCACTATTCCTCAGAGGTTCGATTAAAAGGTTAGCATATTGTAAGGAAGAAATGAGAAAAGTTGCATACTTTAATATTAGTGATCCCAAGGGGGAAGAAATAATGAAAAAAATGACGTTGTCACGGGGAGGAAAAAAAAAGAAGAAAAATAAAAAAAAAAGAGAAAAAGAAACATAGTGATTAACAAAAAAGCTGCGCACGCTCCATGAGCAAAATGGGTCGTGCCATAAAAGTGGTGTCCTCTAATGTGCAATGCAAAGTTAATACACTACAAATACCAATGCAATATGAAAAACAACGGGGATGTTGAGTGGGGGATGAAGGACATCCACTTCGAACTCGTACGTGCTATATGAACATATTGGTGTGTTCATCCTCGATAACAACATTGCTGCGAATTGAACAATAATGCACTAAACACACATCTTTCTTGTCACATTCGGGTTAATAAAAATAATTTTACATTACTGTCCATGTGGAAATGCGGCGGGGTAGCAAGACGAAAACATTTTGGCTTTCTTTTGAGGTAACCTATAAAGGTAGTATTCTTTTTTTTACCCCTTTTTTGTCGTCTGTGTGAATCAGTCCTCGTTTGCTACTCTTTCTTTCGAATCTCAAATGCGGATCGTGATGCAAGCCCAACCTATGCGCGGTGGTGGATACGTTTACCCCGCCCACGATATTGACGCATTATTTACAAACACTGCGGCTTGACGCCCATGTGAATACCCCTAACCTGACCCTTCTGGAATTTTTACCTATACATGCCCAAGACGATGGCATGGTTACGATGAAAGGGTTCCAATGTAAGCTTCTCCTTGGGCTTACAACTCTCCTTTTTCAATTTCTCCATCTCGGACGCAAAGACGACCTCCGGTTTGGCAGTGGAGTCAACACAGTTGGCCTTAATAGATATTATAAACCATCCTCCAGTTTTTAAAAACATGTGAGCATTCATAGCAACAATACGGGCCTGATCGGGCTGTGCGACATCGGCAAAGACGACATCCACCATGTCTACTAGCATACGATACTTAATTGGCTGTCTAGCATCCTCTACAATGGGAACAACATTGGACCTCTTTTTCGACATGTTGGTTAAGTCTCTGCCTGACCTGTGAGAAAATTCCACGGCATAAACAACTCCTTCATCGCCGACCATATCGGATACGTGAGATACGGAGGTTCCGTTTGCTGCCCCCAGGTAAAGGACTTTACACCCTGGTTTTATGGGCATGTTTCCAACTCCACCCATTAAAGATGCACCCAATTTTGAACGAAAGGGGTTCCATACTCTGTACTCTATCTTCTCATTCTCTCCCATTACTTCGTATCTTTTCTCTCCATAGACACTTTCCCCTGGGACTAAATTTTTGGTTACAAGAATGTCTGACTTTCCTTTGAGTAGGAAAACTCCTGGGAATCTATGCGGTACTACAATAACTTTTCCTGATTTTCCATCTTTTTTGAAATTTTTTTTATTGTTATTATTTCCTGCACCGAATT